GCTGGTCCTCAGCACAAACCGGGGCCTGGGCTGCACACAGGGGAGCAGTCCAGGAGCAAAAGGTGTGTGGTGACCCTGCTGGATGCTCATCAAATACAGTCACATCCTTCCAAAAAGATAACGCAAGATTATTACATAGGCTAGCCCAATTCCTGCTAGTGACGAGAGTCCATGAGTCATTTCCTGCAAGCGAGTTTTTAAGGCAACAACGTGCAAATACCCCCTGGTCTGTACCTGTAATTACTGAGCAGTCCTGTATGTGTGGGGGTGGGAGGGCGGGGGGCAGGGAGTGGAAAGAACCCTGGACGGGATTGGGGATCAGGGGCTCATTGTTCCTGGTTTCCCAGGTCCACTGTTCGTGTCAGAGACCCTCTGTTCACAGCCTGGACCAGGAGGTCTTCTCCTCCAGCCTTTCCCACCATCCATCCACTCTGTGCTCTCCGGGTTTCACCCTTCTCCCACATGCCCCACACACCTCCTTTCCCATTACAGAGCAACACGCTCTTCCTAGAATCTCTCTGTTTGCACTCCCTCTAGCTGTTTCCTCAGCTCTACACCGCAAACTCCTACTCATCTGCCAAGCCCCACATCAAACCTCCTCTTCCAGGAAGCATTCCCAGACTACCCCTGTCACAGTTAGTCATTTGCTTTTCTATGCTCCTGCAGACCAGTGTATATACCTTTCTCATAGTTCATAAGATATTAATGATAACAAGGGCTAAATGTTTACTCATCACTTACCAGAATGCTAGACACCCTTCTACACTTTACAAACATTACCTTATTTGACCCTCTTAGTAACTTCATGAAGTAGCTACTCTTATTATCCTCATTTTACAGAGAATGTTACTGAGGACTAGAGATATTAAGTAACTTGCCCAAGGCCACAGAGCTATTAGATACCTAGTCGAGTGCCTGGCACATACTAGCTGCTCAGTAACTATTCACCTCATGAATGATTAAATAAGTGAATACAGAAATAATTATGTATCTGTCTTTATAGAAAGCTCAAGTAAAACCACAGCTTGTTTATCTTCCAAACTATCCTCCCTGTCAAATGCCTCGTAAGGCACAGGGCACTGGAAATACCTGCTAATGAGCAAATAAAAGAATATAAGGGCAAACCAGTAAACAGAGTCCAAATCCCAGTAATGCCACCATCGTCAGCTTTCCGGACCCCTGCTTGCGGCCTGTTAAATGCAGACACTGCACATAACATCTGTTACACTAAGTTCCTTCTAGCATCGAAGATTTATATGTAAAATAAGCAGAGTCCACAATTTTGTGATTATAGCATTTCCCATACCAAATTACACCTTGCAGATTCTCCTGGGTTGTTTTCCTCAGTGGCACTACTCGGTTGAGTGTGACACTGGAGCCAGGTGTTACCCTAATACAGAGCCTGTACCAATCCTGAAAGAGTTCATTTGGCTTCATCCTCAGTTCACCCTCATTCTTATCCAAACAGAGTCACTCCCAGGGAAAGAGTTATTCATATTCAGTGCAACAAAACCCTCATAAATAATCATCAATAATAAATAATATTCCCAAGTGAGATTTTGCAACTGGCACCTGAGCCATTGCTCTAGAGAACTTTCAGGCCACCCTCCTTGTCCCCTGGCACTTCCATGAGAGCCCTTCTTCTCCAAATAGATCCTGGTCTCCAATCCCTCACCACTGTCACACTCACGTGTGTATACACACACATACTCACTGGTCGCATGGAGGCAGAAGCATGATGCTCAGCCCATGGCAGGGGCTGATAAATGCCTGTGAAATGCTTAAGCCCAGACCCACGCCAGGTGGTGCTCAGATGCATCCACATCAGCACAAAAGTCGGGGTTCTGGCTGAATGTCACGTATTCCTGCTCTGCCTATGGCTAACCAGGAGCTTGGCTTTATGCCTGGTACTGACAAACCAGTGTCATCTGGCTTAGCATTAACAATCAGCCGCATGCATGCAAGGGCCCAGCATTTCTTCCCTGACTCCCGCTCAGCATAAACCATTATACCAAAGGACGCCTGTCCATGGTACGTGAGCAAGACAGTGTCTATTCACGTTGGAAGAGGTGAGGACCCCTGCCCTGGGTTTTATTTGACTTACAACAAGGAGTACAAGCACTGGCCTCATGGAGCTGGCCATTAACCACTCACACATGAATGTGATATGCAGGGGGCCTCTACCATGGCCAGAATACAAATCAACAGTCGCTGTAGAGGACAACCGTTTTATATGGGTTTTTTCTTTTTCTCCCTCCCTTCCTTCCTTCCTTCCCTCCCTCCCTTCTTTCTTTCTTTCCTTCTCTCTTTCTTTCTTTCTTGAAATAGTGTCTCGCTCTGTCATCCAGGCTGGAGTGCAGAGGTGTGATCTCGGCTCACTGCAACCTCTGCCTCCTGGATTCAGGTGATTCTCCTGCCTTAACCTCTCAAATAGCTGGGACTACAGGCACCCACCACCACACCTTGCTAATTTTTTTTTGTATTTTTAGTAGAGATGGGGTTTCACCATGTTGGCCAGACTGGTCTTGAACTTCTGACCTCAAGTGGTCCACCTGCCTCGGCGTGAGCCACCATGGCCAGCCAAAGACACCTGTTGTTTATCTGCCTCACACTCCCACATCCTTGAAGGACCTGCTCCTCCCTCACGTTGGTCATGTGATGGTTCAAAGAACTACCAATCACAGTAACCAGTTCCCCTGGCTTTGGCTATCATAAATCCAGAGGTGGGTCAATCAGAATCCTTTCCTGAGATTTTTTAATATTGAGCTGGAAGAGAAAGATTCCAGCCTTTTGGGATGGAGCTATAAAGATGTGAATGAGAGGCTTCAAACATGGAGAAAAATCTGTTAGCAGGAGGGAAGCATGGAGCCAACAGAGAGCAAAGCATCTGAGCATCCAAGCTAAGGTCCAGACTTAAGGTGTCTGCACCTTGCTGTTAATATGAGTCAATGACTTCCCTGTTGTTTGTGGCTATTTTGAACTGGGTTTCTGAAAAGCACAGCTCAAGAAGCCTAACATAGTTACGGTCTGTACTTGCAATGCATTCTCAAATGCATCTTCCACTCCTCAGCATTCAGGCGGTTTTGATGAGGTGGGTTACCTCACATGGGAAATGTCTTTGTTCCTCCTCACAAGAAAGGCATAAAAATTCCTGAGCAAGAAGCACCTTACCCAGCATCCCTAACAAAAGATGATTTCTTTCCCTTTGTATCTCAGAAGCCAGTGGCGACCTGCCAACCACAAGATGTGATGACTGTTCTATTTCAAGCTACCAAAGCTTGTAAAATAGAGGCTGGCCACACCGGCTAGGCAACTGGCTAGGAAATTTTGGAAGAAGGGTCTCTTCTTGGCGGGCAGCCCTCCACTGCATCCCTCTACTGGCTGGCTCCCTGTGACAATTTGCCCTCAGCTCACCAAGAGGGTCCCTCAGCAGCCACACATGCTGGGTATATGGTGACATTCCCTAATCAAAACGGAGCTCTGAAAATCCTCTGTGAGAGAACATAGTGCAGTTGGGCCACCTGACTTTCATGAGACCTTTTAAAAAAAAGCCACCATATACAATTACTGAGGGGGTGGCACTTTGAAAGCTAAAAGCTTCCCCTCCTTTAACTCTGAAGAGCCACCCAGTGAACTCTGAACCATGAAGTCACAACAACAAGGAAAGGAGTCACTGGGTGGGAGTGGCACCCAGGACACTGGTCTCACCCTCTCCTTCCCCTTCCTGTTCCCTACCTCCCCCATTTCCTCTGCCTAGCTGGAGCTTGGCAGGTTATGGGCAGGCACTGCCTGGATGCCTAGTCTGCTCTGGGCTGAGGCGATTGGTCTATTTCAACCTGACGGAAGGCTCTTCCTATGTCCCTCAGTGTCAGCGTGCCCCAGGCTTGCAGGAGCTTGGCAGCTGTCTCCCCCAGGGCAGTGGAAAGCAGCGTATCCCCTGGTGGACTCAACAGTTTCTCATCACCAAAACAAAAACACAACAGTCCCGATTGCCATGGAGAGTTCAATCCTCTTGTCCTGGGATTGGCACTGACTGGAATTCCTAGGGTTCTAGCTGAGCTATCTCCTGTGAGGTCTAAATACAGCACATTTGATTTTATCCTAAACACACAGCCTGGACCAGTGCCCAGGGCTGATAGCCCCCAACGGCCAGCAGGGAAGTCAGCTGAGAAGCCTGGACTCCCAGCTGCCCATCTAGTGGTGGGCATTTCAGGAATGTCAGAGAAAGGTTGTGATAGGGAGCCTATGTTCGCCGATGCTGTCTGCGGCCAGATGAAGGGGGATGCAATCAGTGTGCAGGCTTAACTATGAGGGTGGTCCTAGGTAGAGAAATGCATCCTGGGGAAGGGAGTGGCAGGTGGAGAAGGCAGGGCAATCAGGAGGAAGAGAAAGAGACAGGGAGGAAGAGGCAGTAAGGACCTCTGTCTATTTCTTAGCCAATTAATTAAAAACCAGGGGATCTTTCTTAAATGTTCACTCCCAGGGGAACACAACTCTCTAACTGTGCCTCTCCCAGAGATTTAGGGCTTCAGCCCTAGGATCAGATAGACCAAGGTTGCCCTCTAGTTGTGTGGCCTTGGGAACTACTGACTTCTCAAACGTCTCTAAAATGGCCCAAAGAACTCCTGCAGCTGTTCACTGAAATCATGGACATACAGTACCTTGTACCCGGAAGCTGCTCAATAAATAGCAGCTACGAGAAGTAGTAGTACTAGCAGCAGGCATAGTAGAAGCAGGGGTGCTATCAAGCATGGGCTTCCCTCCCTCAGCCTTGCCTCTGGCTTCCCTCCCTTGGAGAGGGCATGAGAAGAGGGAACCTCCCAGCCAGGAAAAGCTGATGCGTACAGACAAAGGAACCCCTCACCAAAGCAGACCAAGGCAACATTCACACCCACACCTACTAAGAACCTCAGGGTGGCAAAATGGCGACAGCTTCCTAACCTCCCACATGTCAAACCCACACGCCCTGCAAAGGTAGGACTCTGGGGGTTTCTCCTTACCCTGGTGTTCGTGCACGACTTCCCTCGCTTATACTCCTTGTGGGAACCACGCTTATCCAGTTTGTACCACAGGGCTTTGGCTTTCCAGGTGGTCACCTTAGACTTGAGCTTGGAATAAAAGTTTCTGTGGTCCAGAGGGTCTAGGTCCAGCTGTCGTGTGAGGATGTTGAAGGCCTGGAGGGTACCTTTGCACGTGGACGCCTGGACAAAGTTCTCAAAAACCTGCCCCGCCTGGGCCTGCTTCTCGTCCTCGTTCTCCCCCATGGTTCAGGAGTCGTGCGCAGCAGCGGCGTGGCGAGGACAGAGGCGAACAGCATGAAGTACCTGGAGAAACGTCACACCTGCGAAAGTAGGGGGAGGCAGAGGTCAGCTTTGGACAATGAGGGTAGGGTGGGGGACGGGTGCTGAGAAGTAAAAACATAATTTCTTTAAGACACTCAAATGCTACCCATAATACTTAGTGTTCAATCCTAAACAGAAATGTTTATAAAAGATACAGAATTGTGCCTTTCGGCCTGTCAATGTGGTGTTGCAGGTAATCTCTCCCCTATACCCCGCTCCTCTCGCTGGCTGGAAAGTGCCACAGACTGCACAAGGCTATGCCTTGGCTAATGCCAACAGTACTGGTCAATCTTGCTCTGAGCCAGATGGTTCTGCAAATAGTGATTAGGAGAAAAGAAATAACCCAGAAAAGTATGCTAGATCTAGCACCACTGAAAGTCTATCACTCTTGGTGCTGCAAATCGGTTGGCTGATATGAATATAACCCAGCCACACACACGAATGCCCTGACAGAAAACAATCCAGAAAACGTCTCTCTAGAGTCCATGACCACCCACCTCTCCCTAGACATCCAGCTTCAAAGTCTTTCTTCATTAGTTACCAGAGAGCAAGGCTCTCCCCTATACACATGACAATGGTCTCTTCTCAAAACTTCTGCTCCTGGTAGGAAGCACATCATCCACCTCAGTCAGACACACAGACAGACAGAGACACGTGGACCTCCTCCTCCCCATGTGCAAAGGGGGCCTGTGCTTTGTAAGGCCGGGCTGTGAGCTATTTGGAACAAGTGCTTCAGCTGATGGAAGGGAAAAATGCGATGGGTGCTCATTCACAACCCAAAAATAGCTTGCCTGGGCTTTGGCCATGGTCCTTTCTGCACCATTCTAACCTCAGACATTTCTTAGGAAAGTCATTTAAGTTTCAAAGGAACAAAAATAAAGTAGAGCTGATTTTCCAAAGCACTAGCTGTTTTTCCAGAATCCAAAGTTGGTGCAAGAAGACAAATGTGGAGGAGCCGGGGCTGACCCAGCTGTCAGGAGGGCCGTAGGGGTCTCTGAGCAAGAGGGCACAGCAGACCCAGCGACATGGCCTGGCAAGGGGCGGTGAGCAACACGCAGAGCACAGACCTCACGGCAGCTCTGCGCTCCCCAGATAGGGAGGTTCATCGTGGACACGTTCTAATTGTGGGATGGTTTTATAGTACCACAAGCAGAGAATGGTGTTTATCTTCCTCCTTAATCTCTTATTCACTCAATTATTGGTGAGGTAGCAAGGGTCGAGCACCACTCAAGGGGCTGGGAATATGTGGGCTCAGGCCCTGCCTACAGGGGAAGACAAGTTACAAGACAACAGGCGAGCACCTGCGGAAATGAACTGAGGGCATGGAAGCCCAGAGCAGACGGCCTCCGGCAGAGCCTCGAGGAGGCCAGAGGGGACGTAAGAGGAAAGTGTCAAGAGAGCTTCAATTTTAGGAACGGGAGGTATTTTACCAGAAGACTGGAGAGTGGACATTCCAGGCAATGGAAATGCCTCATGGGGGTGTGAGTGTGGACAGAGTGGGACAGTGATGACATGACAGCAAGTCCAAGGTTCAGGATTCCTGAGGAGTTGTGATGGGGATGTCCAGTGCACGTGGTGGCGGGTGTCCCCTCCAGGACAAGGAAGGGTCCTGGCCTCTCCAGTGGGCTGTGAGGAGCAGGAGCCAGAGCAGCTGGAGGAAACAGCGCTGGGACGATGAGGGGCCGGCGGTGGACTGGAGGAGGAGGCTGGAGGACAGAATGCAACTAAGGGGCTGTCCAGGCAGCAACGAGAGGAGCTGGGAGAGAAGGAGGAAGAACAGCCCATGAAAGGAGTACCGAAGTTCACTGGGCAACACCTGCCAGGAGGAGCCTGCTGGGCAGGTGAGGTCTCAGACACTGGAGGCCCAGACTTGCAAGTGAGGGGATCCCAGCAACTCTGTAGAACCCTACCCGCCCTTCCCTCTTTCCCCGAGAGCTTCCGAGGTGCCTGGCACGGTGCTTGTCTGAAGGGAGACTAGCACTCATTCCCTGCTCAGGCCTGGCCAGCTCCCCTGCCCCAGCCAGGCTGGGTCTTCCATGAGGCCTTACCCAGTGACCCTGGTCTATGACACTCAACTTCAGCAGACTGGGCAAGCGGGCTCTGTGCCCTGCCTGGCGAGACGAGCGTGGATTCCTTCACAGATGCTCTCCGGGCTCTGTGAGCGTCCACTCTGCTCACTTGGGCATGACTCACATGAACACTGCCTCTTCCTGCGTCTCCACTTTCCCCATGTACAACACTTGCCACCCAGAGAGCATAAACAGAAGGCGGGACTCATTTGCTTTGCAGAGCGTATTAACATCCTCAGTCTTTATCTATCTTTGGAACCACTTCTGTGCCCAGCATTGAACAAAGGCTGCAGTGGCAGGCTGACAAGGCGATATGAACTCGCCTGCTACCCTGGAGTCTTTTCTGAGGACAGGCAGGCAGTACAGAGAAAACTGTAGGGCTTCTGAGCTATCGCCTCACACAAGCCACTTCTGATTCTCAGTTTCCCCTACTGTAACAGACAAATAATCATCTCATCCTTGCAGGGTTGCTGTGAAGGGCAAGAAACGTGGATGATGGCAGAGCCAGGCCCTGGGAGGCACTCAGTAAGTGTGGTAACACACGCTGCATCCACCACAGGAGGCAGATTTGTACCTGGGGAAATGCGCCAGGTTAGAAAATGGGTTTGTAAATCAGTTCTCCAAGTGGCCAACTACTTCTTGTCTAAAATTATAAACAGTTTAGAGGCACCAAGTCAGATAATAATTTACAAACTGGAAGAAGCTGTCTCCTCCGCACCCCTATAGCCACCCCTCCTCCCCCAGAAGATGAAGGAACAACTTCGTCATCAGGCTCCAGTGGAGAAAGAGCTAAAGGCGGTGCTAAGGGCTGGATAGGCGTGGGCGCTCCAGAAACCAGCCCTTATCTAGAGTGAGATAAGAGGAGGTGGAGGGAGATGGCTCCAGGAGAAGATAAGTAGCCCAGCTGCCCATACCAGGCTCAGACTTGCCACCCTAGATCTAAACAGCCCAGTCTCACCCTTTATAATTGGGTTTCCAAGTTAAGTCAAAGACCTTAAACATGACTCTAACACCCATGGCGGGTAGCTTTCCTCACGGGATAGCATCAGAATATTTAGAGTCAGGGCAACCTGAGTGTGACTTTGGTCTCAAGCACTTGCTAGCTGTGTGGCCCTAGGCAAGTTATCTCATCCTTCTTGGCCTCAGTTTTCTCATCTGTGAAATAGGGATAATACATAATTCCCTCAGTATCCATGGGAGATTGGTTTCAGGGTCCCATGTAGATACCAAAATCCATAGATGCCCAAGTCCCTTATATAAAATGATGTAGTGTTTGCATATAACTTACACACATTCTCTGGTATACTTTAAATCATCTCTAGATTACTTATAATACCTAATACGATATAAGTGCTATGTAAATAGTTGTTACATCACATGTTTAGGAAATAATGACTGTACGTATTCAGTACAGATGAAATCATTTTCTTTTTTCCTGAATATTTTCAACCCACAGTTGGTTGTATCTGTGATGTGAGACCGAAGGCTATGGAGGGCCGCCTGTTCTCCCCACTCGCAGGGCTCTAAGGAATCGGTGAGATCACGTATGCAGTAACCAATACTCATTTGATTCGTCAAATGGCCCAGACATCATCACATCAAAAAAGAAGGGCAAAAGAAACATCATTCATGACTACTGAGACTAGCTTTCTGGAAGGAGTTATATACAGGTTGAGTATCCCTTATCCAAAATGCTTGGGACCAGAAGTGTTTCAGATTTCTATTTTCTTTCTTTCTTTATAGAATATGTCCATTATACTTATTTGGTTGAGTATCCCAAATCCCAAAAATCCAAAATCGGAAAAATCCAATTAACACTTCCTTAGAGTGTCATGTCAGCACTCAAAAAGCTTTATATTTTGGAGCATTGCAGATTTCAGTTTAGGTGTATTCAACACATATACTTTTTTTTTTTTTTTTTTTTTTTGAGATGGAGTCTCACACTGTCACCCAGGCTGGAGTGCAGTGGCGTGATCTTGGCTCACTGCTACCTCTGCCTCCTGAGTTCAAGCGATTCTTCTGTCTCAGCCTCCCGAGCAGCTGGGACTACCACCACATCTGGCTACTTTTTGTATTTTTAGTAGAGACAGGGTTTTACCATGTTGGCCAGGCTGGTCTCGAAGTCCTGACCTCGTGATCTGTCTGCCTCAGCCTCCCAAAGTGCTGGGATTACAGGCATGAGCCACTGTGCCCAGCCTCAACCTAAATACTTTAGAGGACAAGGGCCTTCCACTTAGAAGATCTGAGTTCAAACTCACCTCCTCTCTGTGTAGACTTGGACAAATCATTTATCTTTTGGATTTTAGTTTCCCATTTATAACTAGCAAACCTCAAAGAAAGTAGTGGTAATGAACTGAAAACACACAAGATTCAGGATAGTGTTGGAAATGAACTGGGAAGGGCTGACCTAGCACTCAGAAGGACTCAATGAGTCTGAGCTTCAAGCCTTTTCTCTAGAGAACTGGGGTGCAAAGCCTTTGGTGGCTATCCTTCCCCTCACCCCAAAAGAAGGTAGCCAGGATTTCTTTTTCAGCCAGAGGATCCTGGGTAACCAGCTCTTATTAAAGTTTTCCTTATTAACCACCGCCCAGCTGTTGCCCTTTTGAAGTTTGATATGCAATAGAAATAAAACCAACTAACCAGAAATATGAAGGTTTCTGTATTTTCTGGGAAGAAACAAGATGTGTTGCTTTAAGTTTCCAAGAATAGACTTGAAGCAATTTGGTTTTTGCCAAGTGGAGTCTCTTATTTGTGGTTCGTCTGCTCCCCTGCCTATGTGACTTCATGAGTCACAAAGCAATTTCCTTTTTCTGCCTCTAGCTGCTAAAAATTAAAATTAAAGGCCCTGGGTTGCAGGCAATAGCACTGGTAATGGGCTAAGCCCACAAAATCTGAGAGTCAAGCTCCAGGTTTATGCAGAGTCCCTGAGT